CAGAGAAAGCACGGATGGCATTGTCTGCAGGTGAGTGGGTTGCTCTTGAGATCTGCTTATCTGGCAATTCTTATTACAGGACCTTGTGCTTAGCAGCTGTGTAATCTTGGATGAGTTAATTAGCCTCTCTGAGCCCCAGAGTCTTATCTTTTAAAGGAGGATAATATGACCTTTCTCAGGAGTGTTTACTGCCTGACCCAAAAAGAGAGATCTTTTCTCGGTCTTTGTCCGGCCAGGATGGGCCTGCCCTCTGTACTGTTGTGTCCTCCTAGCAGTCTGAGCTGGCATCTGTTTTCACAGTTGGAAGGGCATGAATTCCACTTGGCCCTTCATCTGCCACTAATTTGTGCAAGTGTCCTTCCTTCTGTGGGCTCAGCGTCCTCAGAAATGTGCTCAATTGATTGAGTTACTTGTTCCTTAAACATTTCCAGAAGGCTACTGGGTACCAGACCCAGGGGGTGTATCTCAGGGTTTACAAAAATGGGTCAGCTTGCAGAGGTGGTGGTCCCTGTGTTGAACGAGCTGACAGCCAAGGGAAGAAAGCTGACGAGGGCAGGTAGTTTTCTAGGATACCCACAGCCATGATGGGACCATCAGAAGGGTGTGGATAAGGCACTCAAGGGTTTGTGGGCATCCGAGAGGGCCTCTGTCATGGGTACGTGGGGATCTGGGAATGAAAGAGAATGGAAAAGGTTATTCCAAGGCTCAGAGACTTGTGATTTTTAGAGTAGATTTCTGGTTTGAGGCTTGACTGAAAATACTCTTTTCTAGCTCAGACATACCTCCCGAAGCCCAAAACAGACAGTGTCATCATCCAAAGACCTTTGCATTCAGAGTCCTGGCCTGTTCCCGAGGCTGAGTGGCCAGCACAGAACACGGCTAGACCGGATTCACCAAAGGTGAGAGGATGTCAGTCATCTAATTTCTTCGATAAACTTTTGTTTTTATCAAGACTGTAACATACATAAGGAAAATGGCACAAATTGTAAGTGTACAGATCAATGAATTATCATGGAGTGACACCCCAAAAGCCATCACCAGGTTGAGAACTAGAAAAACGACCAGCACCACAGAAACCCCTTGGTTTCCCTTCCTAGTCTCTATCTATTATCTACCATTTAATTTGTGGTTTTGGTCAAGTCATGTGTTCGGTGTCTGGTTATTTTTCCCTGAGTGTTAGACATCATGTGTCAAAACCTAAAGGTATAATCTGGGGTTCTGCCTCATAGTGTATTGTCTTCATCCAGAGCACGCTTCCTTTTGCTTATGACAGGTGGCTAGGCCAGGCTCAGGCCATTCCTCACATCATAACCTGGTTCAGAGATGGTTTCAGCACTTATGAGTTCTGTTTTCCTTCCCTTTCACTCTCACTCCTTGGGCATAGCCTTCGGCATCCTGACCAGAAGGCTGTAGTGTTTACCAGCATCTTTTGCCCGTGGCCCTTGTCAGTCCCATGAGGCTGGGAAAAGCCTTGCTTAGCCTTCTGCATCACAACTGCCACTGTTACCGTAGGCTCTCACCTGGAGGGAAGTATGGCCTCCACGGCCATGCCAATGACTCCTGGCTTCTCTCCTGTTTTCGGCTTTAGTCCCTCAGATCCTGCCCATCTCCATAGCTCTCAGATGGTTTAAATACAAGGTGTGCTCTGTTCTGTCCAGCTTTTCTAGTATTTACCAGAGGTTCAGTCCAAAATGTCCTAACCACGTGGAGCCACAGCAGCCCCCTCTTTTCTCAGAGAGAACATATTTTACTGATGAGATGTGAAGTCTGACGGGCTTGAGTTCAAATCGCAACTGTAACTCAGCGTGATGTTGGGCAGAGGACTTACTGTGTCTGTGTCTCTGCTCCCTTGTCTGTAACATGGGGATGATACTTCCAACTGCTAGTATGATCACAAAATCAGGTAAACAGGGCTGAATAAGTATGTGAACAAGAGAGATGCTCAGGAGAAGAAGAAAGTCGCCATTACTCAGGAGGAATCTGATCTTATTCTTAGCATTTCATCTCAGCCTATTGGTGATTTCCTTCCACCTGTCATTTGCGTGGCATCTCTCCTGCCTCCATGATTACATTAATTTTTTTTATCTAAAAAATGGAGACAGTATTTACCTCTTAGAATTGTTAGGACAGTTCAATGAAAGCACGCACATAACATGCTTGCTATACTGCTTGGTACACGAGAGGTGGTCAATAAATGACAGCTATTGTTACTGGCCTTCATTTATTTTTAAAAGTTCATTTATTTATTTTCGAGAGAGGGAGAGAGAGAGAGAAAGCAAGTGGGGGGAGGGGCAGAGAGAGAGAATCCCAAGCAGGCTCCACACTGTCAGCACAGAGCTGATGCGGGGCTTGATCTCTCGAACCGTGAGATCATGACCTGAGCCGAAATCAAACGTTGGATGCTTAACCAACTGAGTCACCCAGACGCCCCTAGTGGTGACCTTCTTAAACATTTTTTTCCCCGACTGGTGACTTTAATTTTAAATTACTCGTCTACAGGTTTATTACCTAAGAATGAGTACTTTTTTTTGTTTTTTTGTTTTTTTCCCAGCTTTGATCTTTTCCTAGGAAAATTTCCTCTGACTTTTGACCTTTGGCCTGGCTTATCCCAAGCAATAGAAGGCATTTTAGAAAAAGGAAACGGTACCCACAAAGACGGAGGGGTCAGTGCTCCTCAGGTGTCAGGGGCATTGCAGGCAGTTAAACGTGGCTGTGGCAGGAAGTAAGAAGGTGTAGAGAGGGGTCTTAGAGATCCCAGTGATGATGTTAAAAATTTTTTAATGTTTTGTTTATTCATTTATTCATTTTTGAAGGACACAGAGAGAGAGTGTGTGTGTGTAAGCAGGGGAGGGACAGAGAGAGAGGGAGACACAGAATCCGAAGCAGGCTCCAGGCTCCGAGCTGTCAACACACAGCCCGATGCGGGGCTCGAACCCATGAACCGTGAGATCATGACCCGAGCTGAAGTCGGATGTTTAACCAACTGAGCCACCCAGGTGCCCCCCGGTGATGATGATGATGAGAGTAACAGTGGGAAAGAAGCCCCCCGCCCCCTTCCTGAATGCCTGCTCGCCATGTGCAATGCACTGGCTCTTCCAGTCCTCACGAGGGGCTTACAAAATAGGTATCAGAATTTGCCCCCTTTACCTGTGAGAAAAGACGAGGCGCAGAGGAGGTATATAGCCGACCCTGGGTCATGCAGTTCATAGGCAGCAGAGCTGGGGTCCCACCCAGGCAGCCTGGCTCTGGAGCTGGGGCTGCGGCCGCTGCGTGGCCAGACGGTGAGAAGCCTTCACGGGAGGGATGGGAACAGTCTCTCCTGCCCCCTGCACGGCCCAGCCTGGAGTTCAGGGTGAGAAAAACCCCGCGAGGGCGTGCGCTAGGTGGTGCTGGCCAGAAACTTGAGGAAACGGGCAGAGCATAAACTGAATGAATGAATGAATGAATGAACCAGAAGGTGCTCCAAGTTTCCGGATTGTTCTTTAGCTTTCTTCAGAGTCATTGCCACGCACGTCGAATGCCACCATTAAACACGCTTCCTCCATTGGACGCAGTGACAAATCCGCGGGATGTTGGCCTGACTCTGCAGCGAGATGATGGGATGTCGGTACAGGCATTTTTGTTCCCCTGCTTTGCGAGCACCTGGCCCACAGGGGGCCCTCTCAAGGGCCTGTGGGACGCAGAATCAGAGCGAGGGGCTGGTGGGCTCTTTCTCTAGAAGGTCCCGGGGCACCTGGTCCCCCCCTCCCCACCCCACGCAGGCTGCATCCTGCTCCGCTGTGCAGGGCGTCAAGAAGCAGAGAGCCCATTGCCTTGTGGGACAACAGATTGCGAGCCATAGATCCGGGCTGGCTCGAGGGGAAGGGCTTCCTGTGGTGAAAATGAGTTTGTTAAATAACTACACTAGGGGATCAGTGACCTAGCAGCAAAATGAGGTCATTGTTGAAGGGCAGTAGCTAAATTTGTCACATGTCACAATTCTATTATTTTATGGTCGAGCTTAGAGAAAAGAAAAGAGAAAGAAAGCAGGGAGGGCCTGGAAATACACGCAAATATCCCAAGAAGGCTGGTAAACCTTTGGTGATGGAGGCAATGTCTGTCCCTGTGTCACAGACTGGTCATGCCACTGCCCCACTGAAGACCCTTCATCTGTCCTGTGTGTGACAGCCGGCTGTAGGGGTGAACGGTGCAGGCCCAGGGGTTGAGCGACCTGGGCTCAAATCCTGACTCTGCCTCCTGTTAGCTGTGTGGCCATAGGCAAGTCACTTAACCTCTCTGGGCCTCTGTTTCTTCATCTGTACAATGAGGTAATAATCCTAGTTGCCTCTTTGGGTTAAAGACGGAATGAATCAATATGTATACATTGCTTAGCATGATATCCGGCACATCATAGGAGCTCCAGAAATGTTCGCTGCCATAGGCTGAACCGTAGGAGATATCGTACTACCTTCTCGCGACAGAATCTGCGGTTTCACGAGGTTTAAACTATTATCATTGACAAGCACAGATTCCTTAAGTTGCTGGTTGCACGTTACTCTACGTGCAATGACCTTCAGCTTTTAACAGCAGAATCCTGCTCCTTCTCGAAAGTCTGGCTCAGACACCGCCTCCTCCAGGAGGCCTTCCTGCCCTTCAGTGTACGGTCGGTCAGTGCTCCCCTCCCGGGTGCTCCACTGGCGGGTGCGTGGGCCTCTTTTCCGGCACTGATTCGGCAGCGGACCTGCACGTTTTTTTGGCCTGCCTGTGCCGCTGGGGGGGGGGGGAGCACCCTGGGGGAGGGGCCGGTCCAGGCGGGGCACATGGGCCAGCGCCCGATGACCGGCATTTCCTCTCCTTCCTGGCTGTGCCTTTCTCAGCCATCAGTGGAACTGCGTGTGCCACGCCACCCACTGGTCACGGCTTCCCGAGGGCATGGGAGAAGTTTGCTCCCTTCTGCCCGTCTGACTGCTGAGGCCCTCTGCCAGAGGTGTAGGACTGACACTGCCCAGCATGGGGATCCTTCCTTCCGTCATTTGCGGGGAAGGTGCTCGATAACTGTGGATGCTGGGCATGGAGGGCTGACATGCGTATGATAGGGGAGGGTGGAGCTCCAGAAAGAGTGGGTGGGGCTTTGAGGGCAGGTGGGCTTGGGTTCAGCAGCTGCATAGATTTAGGTGAGCTATTTAGGGTCTCTGAAATGGCACCTGTTTCCCCATCGGTCATGAGGGCCTGATGACAGCCTGGTGGGAGGGCTCAGTGGAAACAGGTGAACCAGCTCGGTGACAAGAGCCGTGGGCAGTGCCCGGCATGAGGTCGGCAGCCAGTCGACATCGAGTGCCGTTTGATGGGACACTCGCCATCTCTCGTCCCTGCAAACAAGAAACGTCCCCGCTCTATGGGGACACCATCAGTGATTGTCCTGGCAGACACCTGCTGGATGACGTGGTGAGGGCCACCCCCCAGCCCCTGTTCCTCCCCCGCCGCACCGTGAAGGCATCGTGTGCCTCGTTGAGCTGTATAGGAGGACGTGAGCGGTGCAGGGGGAGCACTCGTGCCGGGCACACAAAGCCTCCGCAAATGTTCCTTCCTGTTGCCGTCTCTTCCCTGGATAAGTGTGGGATGAGGGGGCTTTTACGAGCTTGGAGAGGCAGAGACCATTTCATTCTGCTCTTGCCTCCAGCTTCCCCCGCCCTCAGGGCCGACGCCTGGTCCCGGAGCGTGTCCGTGTCCGGCTGCAGCCGCCGTGGAGCCCGCGTGCCCTGCGCGACGCCCGCGGGGAGAAGGCGGGCTGTCCTGTCCCGTCCTCCGTGCCGATGACCCCCCGCCACCCTCTGAGCTCCTGAGTCCTGCGAGGATCCTGGCTTTCCACAAAGAGCTCACACAAAGCATTCGCAGCAATGCCCAGGTCCATCGATCACCGCTGGAGTTATAAATTTAATAGAAGCGCTCATGCTCCGGGGCCGTTTCATAGACTCCATAAATATTTGAAGCCGAGCCTTCAGACACGGCTTTAAGGAATTGGTAGCAATCAAAGCCCTCATTCGGTGGCAAGTGGTTTTGCCTCTGGCTCGGGGGTCTGTGCTGCTCGTCGGAGCTTGGGAGAAATACGTGACTGTGCCCGACACATTCCGAGAGCTTTGTCAAGGCAGCAAAGGGAATATTTACCGTACCAAAACCTATTGAAAGACTGGTCCGGTGGTTCTCAACTGGGCGTGATTTTTCCCAACCAGGGAAAAAAATTGGCAACGTCCGGAGACATTTTCTATGGTCCTAACTCGGAAGCCGCTCCCGGCATCTAGTGGGTAGAGGCCGGGGATGCTGTTAAACATCCCACGATGCACAAGGCAGTGTCCTAGAACACAGGTAATCCAGCCCAGATGTCAACAGAGCCAGGGTTGGGAACCCCTGAACTGGTCTATCAGCTCCTAACATTGACAGCCACAGAGACCTGTGTTGTTATTCTCCTGCCCTTGGGGCCCCTCCCCGTGTGTGAAAAGAGTTTTGTCTACTAGATGAAATGTTTGATTTAAGTAATTATGTATTTTACATGTTAAGGCATTAAAACCCATCGGAACTTTCTAATAAGGCCCATTCGTTCAACCAACATTTGTTGACATCCAGCGAATGCCAGGAAGTATAACGTGAGGGGGAGGGAGGTGAGCCAACTCTGGTCCCTGCCTCAGGTGGCTCATGGGGCAATGGGAGACACACGTATGAACCATGCACCATGTAGCTCATTAAAAGTGCTGTGAGTTGTGGTGAGAAGGTAAAGGCCCTTTCTGCCCGGCCTCGGAAAATGGAGGTCATTCAGGAGGGGATGGCTGAGCAGAGCCCCTGGGCCCACTGAGGTGTTCAACACACAGGTGAGGTAGGGAAGGGTGGTGCAGTCAAAGGGAACAGCACGTGCAAAGGCCCCGAGGCATGGAACTGAACTTTGTGCGTGTCATGAAAGATGTGTGCAAAGCAGCCCCTGGCCCAGCCAGCTACGAGGGGTTCCTGCTTCATCCCATCCTGCACCCCTCTCTTTCCCCCTGAGAATAGGACTTATGCCCTGACCTGGGTGTAGGACTCAGGAGTGAAGAAAATGCATCTATCCTGAGGGCAAGCCGCCCAACAAAAGAATCAAGGGGCCTTGCACCACTCATGCCCAGATCCTGTCCCCGGGCTCACCAATCAGAGACACCATCTCTGTCTCTGGAAAGGGACTGGTGAAGGGTTGAGGGAAAGGTCAGAGTTACCTGTCCGGTTCCGTTCCCCCCTGGAATGTCTTGTCACTTTGGGGCAAGGAGGTATCGGGACCAGAGACCTGGGGCTCCCGGGGCAGCAGGCAAACGTGTAGATTGTACTTTAATGCGGTTGAACTTTAAATATTGGGAAGTGCAGGGAGGTCCCATCTACCCCTCCCCTGGCCTCCCGTAACGTTCCCATCTTATACACCTGACCACATGGCAGTGATAGAAACCAACGGATTTATTTTGAGGGAACCCGGGGGAGCCATTGATTCGTAAGAAAAGCGGGGCCATCGAGCCAGCGACAACACCCTGAGCTGCCGCCACCGTGATGAACCCAAGGGGCTGCGTGATGGGTCATCACATCCATCCACCTGTCCTTGCGCTGATTTGCCAACGGACCCACCCATCCATTTGTTCAGTGCGCATTCAGCATTAACTGCCATGTGAGGCCAGGTCCTGGGAAGCAGGAACAAAGAAGATGTGGTCGGTCCGTATCCCCCAGGACCTCCTGGCAACCGTGCGTCCCCATCAGGTGCTCAAGGAACCCCCGATGTTGGAAAACACTGTTGTAATTACTGCCATTCCGGCCACCAATGCCAGCCACGGAATTGCCATCCGTGTGGCGTCCTATACAGCTGGTCCCTCACGTCGGTGTGGGACCTCTCTTTGGGCCCTTTCTCCACCTTTATTTTGGGACAACGCCGTCAGCTTTGGGCACTGGGGCTACGAGGAAGAGGAGGGACGAGCCAGGTGAGGCCGGGCAACAGCCAGCCGAACCTCACTGCTAAGCCAGCCGGATGCTCTCGAGGCCACCCCTGATCTCCAGGACGCTCCCCCCGGGTTCGGGGGCCCTGCTGCCTGTCACGTGAGTGCTCCGCCTCCTGCTTCTCATAGCCTGGGCCTCGGCGGAGAGGCGACTGGGGAAAATCCATTAAAGGAAGCCAAGGCAATCTTTGTAGCATAACACGGTGATTCCGTAATAAATCATCTTCCGAAGCCAGAAACCACTTATTAACCGGCCTGGGGCTGGCACTTCTGTCGCCTCAAGCCGGGTCGTTGCTTGGGGCTGTGACTCCCTGGGGGTGCATTTGCGATGGCGGATGAAGGACTCTGGCATTTTCTTCACCTCCACCGTAGACCCCAGCCCTGGGAAGGGGCCACCCCCTCGCTGGGCCCGATGTGGCCAGCGCCCAGTCTGGTCAGATGCCCCCGGGGTGGAGGCTGCACCAGCTGGGGCGGCAGGGTGGGGTCAGGCAGGAACCCGGCACGCAGAAGCTGGGGTCAGGCCACCCCCCGCACCGAGAACCGCACTGTGAGTGACCCGAGGCCTCCGGGGAGCGACCAGATGGACCAGCCCGGCTGCCGCGGCAGAAAACAATTTGTCAGAGGGCTGTCAATAAGCAGCCA